GAGGTAGCGAGAGAGAGAGAGGGAGGTAGCGAGAGAGAGAGAGGGAGGTAGCGAGAGAGAGAGAGAGAGAGAAGACAAAAATCTAAAGTTTTGAGTCATTTGTGAGAAAATTTCAAAAATGACCGAGTGGCCAAGAGCGTGTAGCGACTCAGCTTCAGGCCGAAGGGGCGCGGGTTCGAGTTCCGCCTTGGGCAAACAGCACAGTTGTTTGCTCGTTGCCTCTCGTGTGTGTGTTGTCGCGGAGGGCCTCGTGTTCTGCTGAACAGAAGAGCCCGCAAGTGCGTTGGTGTCGAGTGTGTGGTTGAATAGGCGTTCCATCGGCACGTAAAGGGTTACCGGCTGTCTGCTGGAGAAAAACCATAGATAAAAAAATAATAATTTTTTCTATACCATGTAAGTAAACGCAGGAAAGTAAAAAGTTGCGTTTCGCGCAGAATAAACTAGAGGGTTTAAAGCAGGAGCATCCTTCCTCACCCGAATTTTCGCACAAAATTACAAGAAAAGTACTCAAATTTTCGAAAAATTATAAATGATCTCATTTTAAAATCTATCTCTAAGGAACAGGTTTCATTATGGGAAACTCTCCATCTTTAATAATTTAGTTAAGGAAGACACCAAATAAAAATTTAAATTGGCAATTTTCCAAAAATTAAGTTTTTTAACGAACAAGACCTACACCGTTCTCTTAAACGTCTTTCACACCATCCAACAACAAAAACGATTGAACCATTTTTTGAAAATTGGAAAATGTCCCAAGGGCCTCATGTAAAGTACCCCCCAGAATTAAATTATCAATTTGAAATTTAAGGCGCCATGATCCTAGCCAGATCGATTGGGGAATATCAATTTTGAAGAAAAATCGGGTGAACGGATTAGCCGCTAGCGTTGTTCACAGACGGATGGACAGATAGACGTTCTGCCGGTTTTGGTATGAAGGACCCACAAAACGGATACTGGGTCCCGTTAGATTTTTTTCTAAATTTAGCAACTGGATTTATCCACATTTTCGTTAGCAGGACTATTTACTGCCGAAAATGCGCAGTATTACATAACTTTCTCTCTACAGCGCAAGCGGTGGCGAGAAAATGAAAATATATATCCCGAGTACCATGTATGTAGTAGAAAGTAAAAATGAGATGTTTCGCTCACAGTAAAAAGCACGGGGAACGGGCTTTCGTTGCTCCAAACGGCAGCGATGCCGGCCTGGAGAGCCGCGGTCGCGGATTCGAATCCCGCCCCCAGACATGGATGTTTGTTTGTGAGTTTTTTGTTGTTGCTTTCGCGTGCTCTCCCCTACAGTTGCCCCAGTGTAAAGCAACTGACCGTGGAAGGGCGGCAGGTGCGGCTGCAGGGCCAGCCACTCCTTGATGCGCTGCAGGTCCGAGTCGCGCGTGGACACGTCCTCGTTGAGCTCGGATCGGATGCGCTTCTGCATCTCGGCCGAGGGCTGCACCAGGCGCGCCAGGTCCTCGCCGCCCGCCGGCCGCTCCTCCGACAGCGTCATCCTGCCGACACACACACACACACGCGCGTTAGGGCACTCGAGGACATCCGTCTCACCGAGGGCGACGTGGCACACGTTTCACCAAATTTCATAATGCTATGGAGACAATCCAAGACACTCGCGGCATAACGGGAGACACTTGAAGCTAGCGAACCTAGTGGCATAACCATTGTGATAGCAAGTACGAAGTGATTAAGTTTGCTAGAATTCTAGTTTACTTACGAGTATGCTTACTTTTCGCACAGTGATTCGACAGTTGTTGTATATGTATTGAAATTTGAATGTGTCGCCGATTTTCTAGGTCACGTCACTAGGTTCGATAGTGAGCAGGTATCTCCCATTTACACTACGCGAAACGTTCAAATTGTGTTTGCCTACATAGCATTTGCTTTGCGTGCAATGTTGCTATGCAAACGAATGGTATCAGTCATACACGTGGTACATAAACATGGCTTCAAAGCAAAGCACATGAAAAACAGAGCAAACAGAGTCACTATTGTGGCATTATTACTGTTATTAAATTATTATTATTATGTTAAACAGATAAACGTTTACGTGATTATGAATGTCACTATAATGTTAATAGTAAAACCAAAATATCCTTTCGTTTTCTGACAATCAATAAGAATGTTGTACGTCAAAACAAGACTATATTTTCCAATCACGGCGCTGGTTGGTTACACGTTTCTTTGGGTGTGTACATTTAATAACTAGTGGTGCCACAAGAGCACATAATTTTCACATTATTTATAACTACTCGCGTTGTTTCAACAGTCACAGCAAACAAGGATAATTTCACATATAAATTGTATATAGGCATAATACATCACATTATGAAATCATTTGAAACGATGATATCATTATCTTATGCATAACTGTAATCAGTACATTCTTCCCGACTTTATTAAACTTGAATAAAGTTGGCATCGATGGTGTAACAGTTAGCGCATCGTACTGTTATGCCCAAGTTCGCGAGTTCAAATCCTTTCCAAGCCGTGGAGTTTTAAGGGACAAACATACGTTGTATGTCTTACTTCCGAGGGAAAGTAAAGCCGACTGTCCCCTATTGCAGAATTACCGCATGTGAAAGATCCTGAAGCCTCTGAGCAAAATTCAAATCGCATGCTTCATCGGTCGAGTGATACCTCCTTTCTCTACCCAACGGTGAAAGGAGCGTAGCGAACTTTGCTTGGTCTGGCGGAAGAGCAGGCCTCATTGCCTCAGTCTCAGTGGGGAAAAATTAGGCATGGGGTGAAGTCAATATACCATTGTATTGAACTTAGAGAATATTATAATACTAACGTTAAGTAAATAAAAGCATCTCGTATAGAAAGGAAAATATTGGTATCACCTCTAAATTATTGTTCCTAATTTTCTCTCTAATCATTAAACCCGTGTTTAACGTTGTACTTCGACTTGCTGAATTTATTGCGCCAATCTTCGCGGCAAAACGCCATGCTTTGGCTATCTTTGTGGATGTATCTCAAGCTTTTGACTGTGTCTGGCACAAGGGTCTATTTTACAAATTACAATCTATCAGCACTCCTACTTACCTCCCGAGTATTATTCATTTTTTTCTTGAAAACAAAACCTTCCAAGTTAAAGTAAATAATATTCTATTTCGTAGCTACGAAATAAAAGCAGGAGACCCTCAGGGCTCAGTATTTTTACCCCTCCTATTTCCACTACACATAGCAGACACTCCTCAATCCCAGGATGTTAGCACGGCACTCTACTTAGGCGATACTGCAATTTTCGCATGAAACTCTGACATTTATTTTCCTCACGATTCTATTAAATCTTATTTATATGAGTATACCGCCAGGATGAAAAAGTGGCGTATCGAATTGAACCCCGCAAAACCTCAAGCAAAAACCCTTTCCCTTCGCTTCCGTGATGCCCTGGCACCAATGTCTTCCCCCTGAAACAAAATACAAACCTCCCAGTTTGCATCCGATCTCGCTTCCCGAAAGACCTCTTTCGCCCTCCATAGAAATGCAGATTATGTACCATCACCCACACTGATTCAATACCTCACGTCATAACGCATGCCTTCAAATTCCAAAAATTATGAAAATTGATAAAATTACCCCTGATGAACCACATTCGCCGGAGGATATGTCAACAACTTAATATTTTTCATGCTCGAAAACTTAAAATCCCCGAAATGCTTCTCCCGAACGAGCAGGTAAAATAAATAAAAAATTGTTTTAAGCTGTCGTTTTTGCACACACGTCAGGGTTAACGTATCTTATTGCTGTTGCCAGAGCCGGATTCAAGGGTGGGCAAAGTGGTCAGCGGACAAGATTGTTGTTGACGGCTACGCGAACGGATGGACGAATAGACTGACATAATTACCTACGTTTGTCTATACTACGCCTGTAGTTTGAGAGAAAATAAAAAAAAAAACTTTTATTTACCTGAACACAATTGTGACTTCGTTGAAATTGTACAAAGAATTGGTCACCTGAGCAATACAATGGTTAGAGTAACTGGGCGCAAACCAGGAGAGTCGGGTTCGATTCGTAGTCGGATAAGTAATTGTTTGAACAAAATGAGTTATTAAAATATTTTTTTTCTGTACCAGCACTATGAACGACCTTTTGTGTTTCACAAAATCGTTCATAATCGCTCATTTTACGGCACAAATGATGACGTATTAGTATTTACGGCACGAATGATTTTGACATCACACATTCAGCCAATTCCAGCAAGAGAATCGTGGGGAGGTAGAGGTAAATGGAACAGCCGATCACTGTTTTGTGGCACATTTGAAAACTCGCTCCTAACGTCGCCAGTTTTCAAAACAGATAGTCATGCAATAAAGCATAACATTACAATCCAACTGCACAAACTACTATTGTTACACAGTAACAAGGTCACATGATGAAAAACATTTGCTACGCAGATACACTTCCGATGTAAGGTGTCAGGGTGTCGGCGACGGCATTTCTCTCCACTTGAAGGGTGGGCGTGCCCCAAGGTGCTGCCGGCCCGCGCCCGCTCAGCCAACGAGGCGGACGAGCGAGAGGCCTTGGACGCGGTCCTTCACGCATTTGCATCACAAGGAAACACTCGCGCGCGCGGCGCGCGGGACAAGCAAATAAGATATCACTTTTCACGCCTATGGACAAGCGCGGCTGGCCAGGGCTACGTACACCGATCGGAGGACCCGATCACAGCACCCGGCCACAGTTCTCTAATCGACCAAGTTAGGCTGAAATAAAGGAAGCCATCGTTGACAGATTTGATTTACTGAGAGAGCCGGTTTTTGATTTACTAAGAGGGATCGGCGAGTTGCTACAGTACCTCACCGCAGCTGGGCGCGTTCTGAGAGAAATCTCCCATTTCCACTGCGACGTTGCTTCATCGCTGCGCCTCGTAACCCTCGCCGGAGACATCCGTCGCCTTTGCAGCGACTCCGAGACGGCGGTTCGCCCTCCGCTCAGTCCTAATATCTGCGCAGAAGGATCTCGCAGCCCCCTGTCACATCCTTTCACTTTCGAAAGCTCCACATCCTCCCTTCTCAGCGTCGCCGTTCACTTTTAGGCGGAGCGCCTCGCGGATCTGGTGCTGCGAACGGGATGGAGGGGCACTATTTGCATACAAATGTGCTTCTAAACTCGCTTACTTGGATACATTAAATCAATGACTATTTTTCAAATACTGCTAATCTTGTGATTTTTTAAATTTAAATTTTATTTATTTATGGATGTTAAACTTTTACTCTTAACTTTTACTCTTTTAATCTTTCAACTATTTATAGTTAAAATGACGGGAAGGAATTCTGGAACTGAAGAAAACGTGCACAGGTAACCTTCTCACCCCTACGTCACATACAGTTTTTACTGTTTTGGCCTGATTAAATATAAATATAAATATAAATGACAAGTGATTTTTTAAATATAGAATCTCTCCGAACTCTATATTTGTTTTTAATTAAACCAATTTTGATGTATGTATCCCCAGTGAGGTCGTTTATTTATGATAATAATGTTCGAAAATTAGAATGTACACAACACAAATTTCTTGTCCCCTACCATGAGAAGAGGGTCATGTAATTTTTTACTGCAAAGTTTTTTTTACAGAAAAATATTATAACGGAATAGAATATTAAGTTTATTAAACTTTTTTAGTTGGAATACATCAACGATTGAAATGTCGCCCTGCTCTGACACTCGTTTGGAATTTTTAGAAATGAATTCATCCATCAGTTTCACAATATTGATCTTCAATTAACTTAGTACGTGTGCAATATCGCTATATGATTAAGTCGATTTTGCAGCATCGTCGAAATTTTTTTACCCGGCGTAGCATAGACAAACTTCTTTTGTTCGAACACAATGATCCTGGAATCGTCTTTAGCAGACAAATACCGCGCAAATACTCCGAAACAAGATCCATACTACACACATTTTTACGCATTAAAAAATCTACGACATCACGCAAATTCGCCGGATTTATCCCATTTGTTTTCATCATGTCAGAGGTGTCTCTTGACCATCCTGTCCGACTTTAGTCAATGAGCTTCAGACATTATTTGCGTCACAATAGTTGGAATTTTAAATGCAGCCAGATTCGAAAATTATCATCTCGTTACAAGACATTGAAATTGATGTATGATGCATTTCTTTTAAATGCTGTGTCTTATACACCTTCATCGTGTTATTTTTGGTTGGATGTCGTTGAAAATGGTCACTTTGTACCCCTTTCAAAAGTCTCTCAACACTTCTCGCTCTCCATGCTACATGGCGGACAGCGTCTAGCCTGGCTTTTCAAGCTAAGTGCACGAGTGGTCACGTGGTTCATGACGCAAACTGGTTACGCAGAACGAACGAGCAAAAATCGCTGCGACGGAGAACTCACCCATGTATGTTAACCATGGAGGATGCTCAAGGCTACATACTTATCGCTCACTAGACGATTTGAATCGAAATCGAAGTTTGAAAATTGAATAATGTTTGGATATTTACCCACCTGGAATA